TACAATTTTCTATTCTTACAATTTTACAGTTTAGCAATTTTACAAAATTTTAATTTTACAATTTTACAATTTCTAGGATTTCTAGGATTATGTCAGTTTAATAGCAATCTTATAATATTACAACTTTACAATTTTCTATCCTTACAATTTTACAGTTTAGCAATTTTACAAAATTTTACAATCTCCAATCAAACTACAAATTATAGAATTTAATTTATCGTTCTATTTTATTTTTATCTTACAGTTTTAGAATTTAGCAACTTTACAGTTTTAGAGTTTAGCAATCTTACAATTTTCATATCTAGCAATCTTAATTATTGTCAATATATTTTTACAATGTAACAATTTGACAGATTTACTATTTTAGCAGTTTTCTAATTTTACAATTTCGCAATCTTACAGTTTTACAACTTTGTTATCTTACAGTTTCACACTACACTTTAGCAATCTTATAATATAGCGATTCTATAGTTTTACAGTTTACCTCTCTTACAATCTAGCAACCTTACAATTTTACAATGTTACAATTTTATAATTTAACAGTCTTACAATTTTACAGATACATAATTTTACAATCTGACAATCGTAGTTAGTATATATTTTTACAATCTCACAGATTTTTAACTTTAGCAATCTTACAATCTATCAATCTTATAATTTTACGATCTATCAACCTATCAACTGTCTTACAATTTTACAGTTTAGCAATCTTACAGTTTCACAATTTAGAAATCTTATAATTTTTAATTTTACAATCTTACAATGTAGCAGTTTTTCAATATTACAATTTTACAATGTAGCAATTTTACAGTTTAACAATTTATGAATCTAGCAATCTTACAATAATGTAGCAATCTGACTGTTTTACACTTTAGTGACCATATTTTTACGATCTAATAATCTTACAATTTTACAAATTTTTAATGTTTCATTTTTATGAGTAGTTGTTTGACAGATTTACAATTTAGCAATATTACAATTTTACAATCCACCAATTTTTTAGTTGCAATTTAGGAATTTTACAATCTGGTGATTTCTCAATTTTACGATTTTTATAATTTTACAATTTTGAAATCAAGCAATCCTAATTATTACACATTAATTTTTACAATCAACAATTTGGCAGATTTACAATTTTAGTAATCTTACGATCTGTCAATCTTACAATTTTAATAATAAATAAATGCTTTATTATTTTACAATTTGGGAATTTTGCAGTTTAGCAATTTTATAGTTTTACAATTTGACCATCTTACACTTTTACACTTTAGCAATCTTATAATATAGCGATCTTATAGTTTTACAATCTAGCAATCTTACAATTTTACAAATTTTCAATCTAGTAGTTTGACAGATGTACAATTTAGCAATATTACAATTTTACAATCTAGTTGCAATTTAGAAATTTTGATAATTTTACAATTTTACGATTTTTTACAATTTTATATTAATAAAAATGTGTGAAAAATTACATTGCTAAGAAATATTTTATGAGAAATTTGAGTATTTTGGTCAATTTTACATTAAATTTACATTCGACATTTCAATACATGTGCCAACTGAAATTATATAGGGAATGTTGTAAAATGACATTGTAAAATGTAAAATTACATTGTTGATTCTTCCAGTTTCTGTTGTTTTTGGAATATTTTAATCAATTTTACTTTTTTATATAAGTTATTCTTGTAATTGATTTTACGCCTTACATTTCAAATGTCATATTATTATATCTATTTTGTAAATTTACATTGTTTGTTTTCATTTTAAGTGTTTTAAAATTAAATTTTGGTTGTATTGACATTGTACATTCGACATCATAACAGATTGCACGTTTTTACATTTTACACCTTGTAAAATGACATTGTTAACGTTTTAATTTTAATGTACTTGACTTTACATTGCTTTGGTCAATTTGACATTTTTACATTTCAACGCATTCTACATCTTGCATTTTTAAATCAAACTTAGTTTTTAAATTGTTGAAGTCTTTATTGTTTCGTTATATTACAACGATTTTTACTTCTCACATTTTTGAATAATGCTATATTTATTATGTGGTGTAAAATTACATGTCTACATTTTTGTAATTTTACAAAAACCTTGAAAATTTAATATTAATTTGTCTACAACAATTTGACACTTTCACACATGTTTGTTAAATTTTCTTTTATTTTACACTTGATATTGAAATGTTGTAAAATTACATTTTTGAAATATTTTTTAATTGTTCTTGGAATTATATTACTATACAGGGTGCCTATTCAAGACATAAAAATATGTCAAAATTTTTTCACAAAGAATTTTTTTCATGTTCCTGGTATCTTATTTTACTTGAAATTTTTCTCTGGGGCGCTAGTTCTGACACACCCTGTATAATTTGAAATGTCTGTCATTTGTCAAAATGTGAAAATTCTAGGCGCCGACCCGCACATCCAGTCGAAAAGCGGCCTCAGCGCCATCTCCCTCGCCGAAGACAAACACCTGGAGGAGATCCTCCTCATCCTCAACATGTCCTCCCGTCCTCTCTTGCCACGTGAGGACCTCCTCACCAACTATTACAAAACTTGCGCTGATGATGACATCAACTATGACCTCCTCATCCGTCTGATTTACACCATCCATCTTCAGTACCATACCGGCGCCATTTTGGTGTTTTTGCCCGGCTATGATGATATTATGATCTGTAATGATCGTTTATTGGAAACTAATATTGATAAGAATTCGTATCGTGTGTTTTTTTTACACGGTTCGATGAATATCAAAGAACAACATGAAGTGTTTAAACCGTTTCCTGATAATGTAAGGAAGATAATATTGTCGACGAATATTGCCGAAACGAGTTTGACAATTGACGATGTTGTCTATGTCGTCGATTGTGGGAAGGCCAAAGTGCAAACGTACGACTCGGTAAGTAATTTTTTCTATTTTTATTAAAAAATATGCCAAATAGTATATTATTCAACTATTGAGAAAGTTCATTCAACTTTCCCACTCGTTGAATAATATACTATTCTACATTTTTAAATTTTAAAACAAAGTATACTACCCTAAAAAATTAAAAGAATTTGCTAAACTTTTTGGTGATTAAAAGAAATCATTTCTAGATTTTAAAAAACCATTTTGAAGCTTTAAGTTTGTAGTTTGAGACCTTTTGTCAAATTTTTTTACAATTAAAAAAAGACATTGATTTCAAGAAAAGAGACTTTTTATAATGATAATAAAATCAAAGTTGACGATTTTTTTATCAAAAACTAATAATTTTCCACTATTTTTCTCGCCCAATAATCTAATTCGTGTTCTGATTGGTCGGTTTTAAAAGTCGTAATTGATTGGCTAACGATCGAGCAATGACACTCAATTTTAACGCATTGAATAATTTTTGACTTTTTATTGGTCTAATAATCGAAAGTGCATGATTTATATTGGTTTTGGGGTTGGCTCCACCCATTGTGCAAAATTAAACCCAATTAAAGTGAGATAAGTCACACTAAATGCTGATTTGTTATTAAAATTCCATTCAGAATTCAATAATTATTCACGATTTTTTAATTGGGTGGAGTTACTTATCGTTGCTAGGTTTTTTGTCGGATTTCGGCCAATAAGAAATAAAAACCGGTTTGTTCTCACGCTAGTGGCCCTTGTAATCGGACCAAATGTGTCCAACCAATCAAATTAAGATTATGCAAAAACCTCACCGATTGGCCATAAAAAATAAAAAATGATGAATTAAATTCTTTTCCACAATCGGCGATGAAAAATAATTAAAAACTATTTCCAATTAACCGAAAAAATATTTTCGCAGTTTTCAAATAACTTCAGGAAAATATTCAATTTAATTTAAATTTGTTTCCTTAATTGGGACTGAAAAATTCAAACTTTTTCCCCATTTTGACTGTTTTAATTCAATTCGAATTTGGTGTGAAATAAACGCAAAAATTATAAATTTAAATTTATTTTTCTAATTGGCGATGAAAAATGTAAGTTAGATTTGGGGCCATTTCGTCAAAAAAAAAATACAGTTTTTAAATGATTTCAAAAAATGATAAATTTAAATTTATTTCCTCATTTGGCGTCGAAAAATTCAATTTTTTTTTCCACTAATTTCCGAAAGATCGCACACTTTTTTCTATTGAAATTTGTGTCCCTAGTTGGCGATAAAAAATTACCTTTTGGAAACTAACATGTTCCACATTTTGATTTTTTTACAGTTTTACATAATTTTATACAATAATTGTAAACCTCTGGTTTTTATTCGAAATTTTTTTAATTTTACAAAAGTTAACAATTTTACACTTTACATTTTTTTAAAATAATTTCTCAGTTGACTTAAAAAAACGCATTTTTCAAATAACTTAAAAAAAATAATAAATTTAATTTAAATTTGTTGCCTCAATTGGCACGGAAAAATTCAAGCTTTTTTCCTATTTTGACTGTATTAATTCAATTCGAATTTGGTATGAAATAAACGCAAAAATGATGAATTTAAATTCATTTTTCTAGTCGGCAATGAAAAATGTAAGTTAGATTTGGGACTATTTCGTCAAAAAAATCCAGTTTTCAAGTGACTTCAAAAATTTAAATTTATTTCCTTATTTGGCCTCGAGAAATTCAATTTTTTCTCCGCTTAGTTTTTTACATTGAAATTTGTAGTTGGCAATAAAAAATTATTTTTTGGAAACCAACATAATCCACATTTTTATTTTTTTACAGTTTTACACATCTTGTAATTTTATAATCTTTTGACTTACATACAATTTTACAAAAATTAACAATTTTACACTTTACATCTTTAAATATTTTTTAAATTTATTAAAAAATAATTTCTTAGTTGACTTTAAAAAAACGCAGTTTTCAAATAACTTAAAAAAATAATAAATTTGTTTCCTCAATTGGCACTGAAAAATTCAAGCTTTTCCCCATTTTGACTGTTTTAATTCAATTCGAATTTGATGTGAAATAAACGCAAAAATGATGAATTTAAATTCATTTTTCTAATCGGCGATGAAAAATGTAAGTTAGATTTGTGACTATTTCGTCAAAAAAATTCAGCTTTCAAGTGACTTTAAAAAATTTAAATTTATTTCCTTATTTGGCGTCGAAAACTTCAATTTTTTCTCCGCTTAGTTTTTTACATTGAAATTTGTATCCTCAATTGGCAATAAAAAATTATTTTTTGGAAACCAACATAATCCACATTTTTATTTTTTTTTACAGTTTTTCACATCTTGTAATTTTATAATCTTTTGTATTTTTACTTTCCTTATCCTATAAGCATATCTCGAGAACGATAAGAGCTAGAAACTTGAAATTTGGTATATAAGTTACTTGTAGCAAGGGGACGCAGCCGAAACATTTGGTAAAAATCGGTCGCACCATTCACCCGCAAAGACCAAAAATGACAATTTTACTAATTTTTTTCCAGTGTAGCGGCTTATCATCCCTCCAAACCCAATGGATTTCCAAAGCCTGCGTGAAACAACGTGCTGGTCGCGCCGGTCGTACCCAATCCGGCGTTTGTTTTCACCTTTTTTCACGCACTCGATACGATTCGTTCCTCGAGGAACGCATCCCAGAAATCCTTCGAGTCCCTCTCGAGGAACTTTGTCTCAATACAAAATCCCTCGCTGGTAACATATCCATATATAACTTCCTCGTAATGGCGCCCGATCCGCCATCTTCCAACACCGTTAAAACCGCCATTGAAAATTTAGAATGTCTCGGAGCACTAGATAAGGAAGAACGACTCACCCCCCTTGGGGAGTACCTCAGTCAACTCACCATTGAGCCCCATTTAGGAAAGATGCTCATTTATTCAGCGATTTTCAAATGTTTGGACCCGATTCTGACAATTGTGGCCTCACTGGCGCAAAAGTACCACTTTTTCAGCCACTTTTTTTTTGTTTTTTTTTGATTTTGAAATTTCAGGGACCCGTTTCAGCTCCCACCGCAGGCCAATCTTCGGAGTTGCGCCGCTGAAAGGCGCAAAAGTCTCATGGCGAACACTTTCAGCGACCATATGGTCTACCTCAAGGCTTTTATTAAGTGGCAGGATTCGGTGAAGTACCGAAAAGAGCGACTTTTTTGCCGCGATTTTTTTATAAGTCCATCGACGATGGAGACCATTCTCAAGACACGGTCGCAACTTTTGGGCCAATTGCGTGCTGCGAAATTTGTACCACCCAATGGTACATCTATGATGGCGTTGAATACGAATTCGGAGAATTGGCCATTGGTTAAGGCGGTTATTTCGTCGGGACTTTACCCGAAATTGGCGTTTAAGAAAAATGGTCATTTTTGTACTAGGACGGAAAAGAAGGTTTTGATACATAATTCGAGTCCGTTGAGTAAGGAATCGATGAGTTTGTGGTTGGTTTATGATGAGATGGTTAAGGTCAGGAATGGGCATCAGGTTAGAGGGGTCACACCGGTGACCCCGGTTACGGTAAGAATTTTTTTTTACAATTTTACAAATTTTTAATCTTACATTTTTACATTTTTCTATTCTTACAATTTTACTCCAAATTATAGAATTTAATTTATTTTTCAATCTTATTTTTATACCTATTACAATTTTACAATTTGCCAATCTTACAATTTTTAAATCTAGAAATCTCAATTATTATCAATATATTTTGACAGATTTACAATTTTACAATTTTACATTTTTTTATTCTTACAATTTTACAACTTAGCAATCTTACAATTTTAGACTCTAGCAATCTCAATTATTATCAAAATATTTTTACAATGTAACAATTCTACAATTTAGCAAGTTTACAGTTTTACAACCTCGTTATCTTACAGTTTTAAACTTAGGAATCGTACAATATAGCGATCCTATAATTTTACAATTTACCAATCTTACAATCTAGCAAACTTACAATTTTACAATTTAACAGTTTTACAATTTTACAATCTAGTGATCTCACAACTTTACAAATTTTCAATCTTACAATTTTTTAATCTAGCAATCTTATAATTTTACGATCTATAAATTTTACAATTTTACAATTGAAATTATGCAATTTTACAATTTAGCAATCTCAATTATTATCAATATATTTTTACAATGTAACAATTTGACAGATTTACAATTTTAGCAATTTTACAGTTGAACAATCTTACAATTTTACAATTTCTTATTCTTACAATTTTGCAGTTTTACAGTTTCAATTTTATTTTTACTTTACAATTTTACAATTTAGCAATCTTATAACTTTTAAATCTAGCAATCTCAATTATTATCAAAATATTTTTACAATGTAACAATTCTACAATTTAGTAAGTTTACAGTTTTACAACCTCGTTATCCTACAGTTTTAAACTTAGGATTCGTACAATATAGCGATCCTATAATTTTACAATTTACCAATTTTACAAATTTTCAATCTTACAATTTTTTAATCTAACAATCTTATAATTTTACAATTTATAAATTTTGCAGTGTAGCAATTATGCAATTTTACAATTTAGCAATCTTACAGTTTTACAGTCTTGCAATTTTATAGTTTTACAGCTTCACTATCTTATAATTTTACACTTTAGCAATCTTACAATCTGCCAGTCTTACAATTTTATAACCTCGCTATATTACAGTTTTACACTTTGTCAATTTTACAGTCTAGCAATCTTATAGTTTTACAATTTAGCAATCTTACAATTTTACAAATAATACAAACTAGCCATTTTTCGGATTTATTGCCATTACAATTTTACAATTTAGCACTCTTACAGTTTTACATGTTTAGCAATTTTACAGTTTTACTACTTATAGTTTAATCTTATAGTTTTACAATCTAGCGGTTTTACAATTTAACAATCTTACAATTTTACAATTTTCTATTCTTACAATTTAGCAATTTTACAATCTCCAAATAATAGAATTTCATTTATCTTTCAATCTTATTTTTATCTTA